GTGCACAAGCGACCAACTTCAGCGTTGGCTGCGATTTTGAAGCTGAAATCGCGTTCGGTGTGAACGCAGCATAAGAGTTTTACACGCTCTCATGCCACACCTCCACTTTCTCATGCTGAGAACTGACAAACGCCAAAAACTCAACTCCAGTCCAGTTTATCATTATAAAAATACAAGTATTGATGTTAATCCAATCCACGTTTTCACCACAACCCGTGGTGTTACACACAGGGACATGCCAGGTTGTTATCCAGTCYRTGTTTTTKCACCAACCTTCTCTCTACCTGTAAACAGCAGCAGCWCTGTGGAGCCGGGAGAAACTGCAAACAAACGGAGCAGTCAGGTGTGCTCCTCCCAAATTAAAAAAGAGAAAAGAGGTGAGCTGCACTGGTAAAAACATGTTAGAAAGAAAGAGATGGATGGAAAAGGAAAATGTTTGTGAGAGATGCAGCTAAATKAACAGATATTTTCTGAGATAAAGGGGTCGAGGTTAGGCTGAATGTATCACCTGGTACCAGTAGGAGCGAGCAGCCGGTGTGCAGCTGACCGACGTCAGACTGCCTCCATCGGGTTAGATGGGAGGAAGATGACGGTGAATTCCAGGAGCGCAAATATTCAACCTAAAACTAACTTCTAGCTGCTTCTAGAAGGCAGTGTGTGTGATTGTATCCCTCCACAGACACACAACATTAGGAGATGTTTTACAGAGAAACAGAAAGTAAGTTAATCTCTCCACAGGACAGATTTATCCTGTGTAAAGTTAATGCTGTTAGCTACTGGCTACAGCTAGCTTACCACTAATTAATGTAATTTACAGCATCTGTTAAAGTACAGAGTGATCAGCTGGTGACATTATTATCAGTAGGACTAAAATAATCAAATCAGAAGATTATTGGGTGTTTTTATTAAAGTATACAATGATTGCATTCTAACGTATTGTGAGATTTTTTTTATTATTATCTTAGAAGAGTTTCAGCAATAGTTTCAGCCTGTATCAGACCCATTGATACAGGCTGTTGGGTCCTTGTACAACCAGTGCCAGAGCTTGGTCTGCATTGCTGGTAGTGTCAGACTCGTTTCCGGTGAGAGTTGGACTCCACCAGTGTTGTCCTTTGTCACCGATTCTGTTCATAACTTTTATGGGCAGAATTTCTAGGGGCAGCCAAGATGTTGAAGGGATCCATTTTGGTGAACTTAGGATTGCATCTCTGCTTTTTGCAGATGATGTGGTCCTGTTGACTTCATCAGATCGGGATCTCCAGCTCTCACTGGAGCGGTTCACAGCCGAGTGTGAAGCGGCCGGGATGAGGATCAGTTCCTCCAAATCTGAGACCATGGTCTGGAGCCAGAAAAGGGTTGGTTGTTTTCTCTAGGTCGGGGAGGAAGTCCTGCCTGAAGTGGAGGAGTTTAAGTATCTCGGGGTCTTGTTCACAAATGAGGGAAGAATGGAGCGGGATATTGATAGGTGGATTGGTGCTGTGTCTGCAGTGATGCGGGCGCTGTTTCGATCTGTCGTGGTGAAGCAAGACCTGAGCCAGAAGGCAAAGCTCTCGATTTACCGGTCAGTCTAAGTTCCTACCCTCATCTATGGTCACGAGCTTTGTGTAGTGACTGACAGAATGAGATCATGGAAACAAGCGGCCAAAATGAGTTTCCTTCGCAGGGTGTCTGGGTTCTCCCTTAGAGATATGATGAGAAGCTCAGTCATCCAGGAGGGACTCAGAGTAGAGCCGCTGCTCCTCCACGTTGAGAGGAGCCAGTTGAGGTGGTTCTTCTGGTTAGGATGCCTCCTGGACGCCTCCCTGGTGAGGTGTTCCGGGCATGTCCCACTGGGAGGAGTCCCAGAGGAAGACCCAGGACATGCTGGAGGGACTATGTTTCTCAGCTGGCCTGGGAACACCTTGAGATTCCCCCAGAGGAGCTGGTCCAAGTGGCTGGGGAGAGGGAAGTCTGGGTCTCTCTGCATAGGCTGCTGCCCCTGCGACCTGACCCCGGACAAGAGGAAGAAAATGGATGGACGGATAAACTGCACCTCCTGGATAACGCCAGCTCTGGTTTTGCTTCCGGATGACTGTGACTGATCCCAAGAGTTTACCCATGGGCTACATGTTTGGGGCATTGTCCTCATCCACCTTTGACTTATTTGGTACTGCAATGTTGTTCATTAATCACAGAGGATCTGAACATTTGTAAATTTTTATTATTTTCTCTGATTTGTGTTTGTAGCCCATATAATTTTTTTGATCTTTTTGTATTGAATTGAAATATCTGTTCGTGCTGACCAATTTGTGAGCACACGTTAGAGCCCATACATCAATCTCACCAAGCAATGGTAAAAAATAAACAGCATGATTGTGAAGTACTGTACTGGCCAGGCATGAGTTCTGAGATGAAAAATATGGTTAAAAATAGTTGCAAGTGAGCTCAACAGATGCCCCAGGCAGCCCGTTATGCCAACAAAGGCTGCAGAGCGACCATTTGATGAGGTAGCACCAGACCTGTGTTTGAGTTTTGTGGAAAACAGTACAGTRCATTAGTGGATTATTACTCAAAATTCCTTGAAGCAGATGAACTGAAAAATCAGCACAGTCGAAGGGTAATACAGGCTCTGAATGCTCTGTTTGCCAGATGGCATTCCCTCCACAGACTGTGGTTCTCAGTATTCATCAGAGGAGTTCAAAGAGTTCTGTTCGAGTTATAGTATCCTGCCCAGTATCCTGCACAAAGCATCATCATCTCATGCACCACAATCTAATGATGAAGCAGAATGTGCAGTCCAGACAGTCTTTTAACACCTTGTGCAATTAGACTACAGAACTATTACACTTAAGTCAGTGGGGTTGTTACCTGTTCAACTCCTCATGGGATGGTGGCCTCACATCAGGAGGCCTCTGCCCATGGTTTACTCACACCCAAAGCTTACAACTCATTGAAAGTCAGGTGCCTTCTGATCAAGACCAAACCAAGTTCTACTATGATCACAAGCGAGCAAGCAACCATCTCCCAGCCCTGTAACCTGGAAATTAAGTCCAGATTATTCCATATTTTGGCAAACCACAAGTGGACCAAAGGAGGGGTAATTTAGCCACACAACACATCACAATCCYATGTAGTGGAGATGGGAGGAAAGACGTTCTGCTGCAACAGTCAACAACGTGCTAGCACTCTACGTGTCAACAGGTGACGCCATGAGATACGTGTTGAGCCTTGGCCAGAACTACCTGAACCAGTTGCAGCAAAGGCCAGCAAACCCTCATCCACCCACAGATTTGGTAAAGAAATCTAAGGAAGTGAAGGTCTGGTAAGCTCTCCTTACAGGTTATTGCTCTAATTTCAGCTTAAGTTTATTTTACCATCTGCTCATTGATTCACTCCATAAATAAAACACTGCACCAAGAGAATCTGTCAAAATGAAGACGATTTGATGATTTGGCATCCTGCTAGAAGGCAACCTATGAACTATTAGAGTCAAACGTTTTCTATTGTTAGTGACCAATGTGGGTGCAACTCTTACATTGGTTTTGGTTGAATCTGTCAAGAGGAGAGATTAAATGTAAACACTGGATCTAACAAGTAGGTCATATAATAATTATAGTTTCAGATTGCACAAAGACATCAGAATCACACATGCAACACATGTGCGTTTGCGGTTACTTCCTCAAACAAAGCCACTGTGTGTGGTGTCATTTTTTTCTGAGTATCACCTCCATAAGGAGATGTTCTGGACATGTCCAACTAAGTAGGAGACCCCGGAGAAAACCCCAGAACACTGTGGAGAGACTATGTCACTAAGCTGGTGTGGAAATTAATTTAGAAAAATAATGCCTTCATACAAATCTAAGCACTGTTTTATTACATATTTTACTAACAGAATGACAAACTAGCATGCACACAAGCACACACACACCTACATATACACTAGGTGTTTTTTATTATTGCTGTCATTTCAGCAGTGGTACACCCGCACAGTAATTAGATGAGTTTTTGCTGTTGTCTGGGCATGTTGAGCGTCTGGACAAGTTAGGGCCTTCCTGCTGCTTTTGTCGTGGTATCACTTCGAGATAAATTCTGTGTCACTTGGAGAGCTAAATGTATCACCACATCCTGAGTCGTTTTATTTTTACACTTGTGCGTGTTGTACTTGACTTGTAGACCACATCTGGACCACTGATACGGACAAAGAATTATTACATGGTGGTTATGTTGTCAGTAGTGTTAGTCTGTCTGACTGTGCACAAGATTACTCAAAAATATGAATCTAACCTTCCTGTCAGGATGTATGTTCCAGTTTTATTTTGCACTTATCTGCCCTTTTTGCTTTTTTAAAGCTTTTTACAT